CCGGCCGGGCCCCGGCCGCAGAGCCCCCCGCGCGGCCAGCGGCGGACGAGGAGCCGCTAGATGTCACCACGCGCCTGGCGCTCGGGGGCGGCCGCAGGACGTGGCCCCCCCTTCCCCTTCCCCCCTGCTTTCATTGGAAGCAATTGAGAGAATTAACTTATCCGCTTTTATGGCCTGCTTGTCACATCCAACTAAGCCCACTTAAAATAGGAAGTCGCGCTGCATTCAAATAATTATCATAACGTACAAATCACCGGCGCGGGGCTGCGGGCGGGGAGGGGGACGTCGGCCGGGCCCCATCGCGTGCGCCCGCCAAGGGCCGGGGGGCCGGGGGGGCCCTGCGGCACCACAAGGATGGGGCAGCATCCGCGGGGCTCGTGGGGCAGCGCTGGCCGCGTGCCACCCCTGCTCTGCGCCTCCCTGGCTCCACGCGGGACCCTGTGTCCCCCGGAGCGGGTGGCCCTGCCCCGCTCTGCTGCCACCCAGGGCCACCGGGTCCCTCCGGCCACGGGCGGCCACGACCGCCCGGGCGCTTCTCCCGCTGCCGCGGCCCAAATGTCAGAGGGGACCGCGCGGCAGCCGGCGGGGCTTCCAACGCACCAGATGGGTTTTTATATTAGCTCCTATTTCATGTTCAGACAGAGCGACCGCACCACTAGAGCTGCAGCCTCGCCGCTGCCGCGGCTGCTTCTCTGAGATTAATTCTGCGAAATTAATTGGGACAAGATTGAAAAGGAAATTAAAATGCAGCTGAGTGAACAGGCTTTTCAAACACCTTTCCCCCCTCCCCGCCTTCRCGCTCTCCCCCCGCTGCGCGGCCGCCAGCAGCCACCGAGCAAAGTAATTTACGGGGGAAAAGCTCCCAGGACCCATCGGWTACGTGCGAGGGAGCTGGCGCACGAGCCGCGGGCTGAGGAGGGCCGGCCGTGACACTGCGTGGCCGGCCCTTCCACACCGCTCGGCACGCGCTTTGAGGTCTCAGGGCAGCAGCCTGCTGCAAGAATCCTCCCTGCGGGGCCCAGGCCCTGTTTTCCTGCACGGGGATGTCCTGTTGCAAAGCCAGGAGGCAAAACTGGCTCAGATTCCGGCATCCCCGGGAGCCGGTGCAGAGCAGCCGCGCGCCAGGGCAGAGCCGTGCGGGGAAGAGCCCGGGCAGGGACGGGCACATGTGGCCGGAGCCGTCGGGAGCGCTGCTGGACACGTTCCACCGCGCGCCTGCTGGAGGGACCCGGGCTGGACCCCCGAGCAGCTCGATGGCCCCTGCGATCCCCGAGCAGCAGCACGTGGTCCCCCAGCCCCACGAGAAACCTGCCCGGAGCATCTGCACCGCCTGGGGCATCTGCATCATCTGGGGCACCTGCACTGCACACGGGTGGTGCAGGAGCGGACGCCGGGGCCCGCGCGAGCTGCCCGCCCCGGGGCCCTACCTTGCTCAGCACGTAGATGAGGTCCCCGCGGCGGAAGGAGAGCTCGTCGGGGTGCTCGCTGCTGCAGTCCCACACGCCCTGGTARTAGTTGGCCAAGTCCCTGCGGGGGGTTCCTGCGGAGGAGGAGGAGGAGAGGTCGGGGTGAGGGGGAACCGCACAAGGAGACGGATGGGGGTGTCCGGGGAGGGGCCCTGGGGAAACACCAGGAAACGGTGCTGTTTGGGGATCACCGTGTCTCAGATTTGCTCATTTTCCATTTCAACTGCAAAGCAAGGGCCGAAAAACACCATGAGAAAAAGGGTCCGGTCAATAAACACGACAGCACTGGGAAACACAAGCAAATGCACTGACAGGTGTTCGCAGAGAGCTTGCATTAAAGCCACTTACCACGAGCCCCTCTGAAATGCCAAGTATCTGAACCAAAGATGCCTCCCCTATGTCCTGATGTCCTAAAACTGCCCCAYGCCCGAGCGGAGCCGCCCCCGCCCCGCACCAGCATCGGCACCGCGGCCGCTGTTCCCGCCTGGGAAGAGGAATCCTGTTAATGAGCATGGGGGATTCGCACGGGGCCTGCGGGAAGGTGCTGCTGGGGAAGGTGACAGCCAAGCTTGTTTATTAATTAAAGGCAGCAAGCGGGGGATTTCAGTCAATTGAGCAGGGCTCGCTTGGCAATCGAACGGCCCCGACGCCTCAACCAGGAGCCCAAGGGGAGACACAGGGAGAGGGGCCGAGCTGGGAGCAAAGAGCGGCCTCGATTCCCGGTTTTCGGGAGGCTGGAGCAGGTCCCGAGGTGCCGACAGGGGCCGGAGGGGCAGCGCCTGCACCGGGGCTGCAGCTCCCGGRGCTCGGAGCAGGAGAAGGGGCCCCGCAAAGCGGCAGATTCTCCTTCGCCCTCTGCTTTTTTTGGAGACGAATGACTTGTTTGCTGAAAATTGTGGGTTTAGGCTGAGGAAACACTTGGCAAAGCCGGTGCGAGGCTGAGCAGTGCCCTTGGTTGAATGCGTGCGTGGGCTCTGGAAAACGCGGCAGTGGTGTCGGTGTTTGCGGAGCGCGGCCTCGCCACCTTCCCCGTTTCTAAATGATGTTTCTTGTCTCAGGAACCAGCAGGGAGAGCGGAGCCGCCTCAGCCAGCGGGTGCCACTGCTCCCGCAGGGAAAAACCCCCCAAGTCGGACTCGGAATCCTAATTCCCAAACACCCAGATGTTCCTGTTCCCAAGCAAAGGATTGAGGCRGGGGCTGATGGTGGCAGATGTCGCGACACGGCGTCACGATGGGTGAATTAACCCCGGGGTTCCCAGCGAAATTGGGGCAGGCTCAGGCCAGAAAGTGAAAATAGAAAATCCCGAGCATGTGTTGGAGGAGATGGTTCTAATCTGGTGCAAGGGACTGAGTGATAAGGGTGCATCTGGAGTGCCGTGCCCGGATTTGATCAGCGAAATATGAACCAGGACATTACAGAGATGGATAATTGCACTGCAGGGAGTAACTGGAATGACTCAGGGACTCGGGGAACTTAAATAGAAAGACTGGAAAAAAAAAAAGTAGGTCTGCATCCTCTGGAAAGTATGAAAGGGGGAGCAGCAGTGGGGAGGAGAAGATTGGGAAGGGAATAGAAGGAGAAGGAGCTACGGGGCTATTTAAGCTCGTGTGAAGCGCAGGAAGCCGAGGCTGGGAACAGGAGGCCGAGGAAAGGGCGGCGCTGGCGGGCACGAAGCGAGCCCGGATTYGGCAGCGCCCGCGCCGGGAGCAGAGCACAGCGGGAGCAGCCGGGCGCCGGGCACCGCTCCCGCTGCCAGGGACACGGGCCGAGGCTCGAGGGCAAGGGAAGACTCCGGGCACTGAAACGGGAAGGTTTGCGCTCGCTGGGAAGAGGCCGCCCTGGCGATGAGCGATCTCTTGTGACCCTGTGGAGCACTGGAGCTCATCTGCTGGCACAGATTTAAGGATAGTCCTTCCTGAAGTCAGCCGAGGTTCCTCTTCAGGCCATGCTATGGGTAGTGCTGGCTTGGTGGGTACCGGAGCTACCACTGTGCACCAGGAAGGCCAGAGAGCAACGCAGGGTTTTCCTCTCCATAGGCTGGAATAAGCGTTAAAATGAGGTGGAACAAACTGTCTGGGAAGTTCCTGCTTGGCCAGGTGCCACCCCACATCCTGCCACCCCGAGCCTGTCTGCAAGGCCTGCAGCAAGGAGATTCAGCTGGTAATGAAACCACGCGTGGTCCTGGGCAGGATGCTCCCCCAGCAGAATGAAACCTTCCAACCTGCCGCAGGGTTCACGCTCCCAAAGGCTTCAGGAGAGGTTTTCCAACCATGTCAGCTGGCCCGATGAAAAGCGTCACCCCTCCCTCCAAAACTGCCTTCAAAAGGTCAAAACTGATGGCACTGGATGAGGAAGATGCCTCAAGACGAGAGCTCTGCCGGGCTCTGCGCTTCAAAGGCAAGCTGCGGGTGCAAGCTCCTGAGAATATCTTGTTAAAATGAAGATCACTTGCAGAAAAGGGATACAGGGGCTAAAAAGCCCAAACCCCCAGTCTAGACTCCGGAATTTGCTTCCAGGGGAGAGATGTGATTTCAAAGCAGCTGATCCACACTGATGTAAGTGGGGCGAGAGCCTGCTCCCACGCCCAGGGGCCTCGGGGTCGTGAGGAAAACCAGCCAAATGTGACAAGTGCGGCGTTTCCACGCGCAGCCTGAGCAGCCCGCGGCAGGGCTGCGGGAGAGGCGCCATCCGCCCGCTCCTTTTGCTTCAGGTGTGCTGCTTCGTGAGGCTGTTGATGCTGAAACCTACTGACAACTGTCTGCAGGCCAGGGCTTTTCACTGCTCTTCTCACGCTAGGGGAAACTTCCTGCTATTCCAAGCACAGAGTGTTGGGAAAGGAGCCCCCTTTGGGGGCCTTTTCCTTGAGTTTAGGAAACGGGCTCTGTCCATATTAAAATCACGCTGCAGAAGGAGCCGCGGAGCCGGCCCGGCGCAGAGGGCAGGAGGAAACGGGTGTCCTGGCAGGAGGGGCCCACAGCTCCCAGCGGGATCTGTTGGGCCGCTGCRGCTTTGGGGCATCCTTGTCCTTCTCAGAAATTAGGAACAATAGTTTTCCATTAGCCAAATGCTCAGCTGGCATTTTGGCTGCGGGATATAATTAAGAAGTAGCCCCTTGTCTCGCTGCGTGCAGCCCAAGGGCTCCCGAGCCCCCTGGCTGGCCCGTCCTGCCGTTGGGCTGCGGCGCGCGGAGCGGGGCTCGCGGTGCCACGAAAACCTCCCCGTCTTGAAACGCAGCCCAGCATTTCAGAGGCAAGAGCCTAATTCATTATTTAGCGCAAAAACAGACACCGGGCTTAAAGCAATCATGACAGCGCTAATAACTAAACCAGTTATAACTATTAACAGCAATTACGAGCGCCGGGGAGATGCTAATGAGCACGGGYGTGCGCACGGCTGCACGCCGGGCCCAAAGGCCTCCGGTCTCTGCCACCGACTCTAYGGTCCCGCGGGAATCGGGCTGCCCCGGGGTCCCCTCGCCCAYGGGGCAGCGCGGCGGGAAGCTCTTCTGCGCTGTACGGAGCACCCGAGGACAGCAGGAAGCTCCCGGCGGCTCCGCCGCGGCCACCCGGACACCAGAGCCACTTTCATGCACCGAGGCGGGAGGAGGAGCAGGTAGGTCGGGGAGGAAACAGACCTTCCGCCCGCGTCCCCCGTGTCGGCCCGAAGGAAACAGCAGGGCCGAGGGCGGCACCGCGGGGGCTCCGGGGCCGGCGGCTCCGCGCGGGCGCCCCGGCCTCGGGAGCGCCGCCTCCCGCTTCCAGGGCTGCCGCTGCCTGCGCCGCCTTCCCCCGCGCCCCGACCCGTTTCCTGCCCTCTGCGCCGCTCGTTCGGGCTGCAGCGCCCGGCACCCGGCGCTGCCGTCGCCCCTCCGAGGCGCCGCGTCCCAYGGGGATGTGCCCACCGCACGGAGCCCCTCCGGCAAAGGGATATCAGCCCGTGTCCATGGGGTCTCCCTTGGGCAGGGCCCGCTTCCCACCTGCCCGGCTCCCGATTTGGTGCCCGTCCTCAAAGGGAGAGGTGGTCCCCGTGTCCGTAGCAGGGCCTCCGTGGGGACGGTCCCCAGAGGTCGGGTTCTCCAAGCTCCCCCCTTTGCAGACTGCCCCGTCACCTACTGGTGTGACCCGTGGGGCTCCCACCCTCACCTTCCCCTCCATCATTCCCACTCCCAGAAAAGCTGGAGCACGGCTGGAGCCCTGCACGTGGGGCCGGGAAGGTCTGTGTGTTCCGCAGAGCGGGGGCTCCTACCATTCCTCCCTCTGCTCCCGGCATCCTCGGTGTCCTCTGCGAAGGGGGGATCCGGCTCCTCCTCTGCGCAGGGAAAAGCAGAGCAGAGAGGCCAGGTTAGCGCCAGGGCGGGAGGCAGCGGTGACGGGCGCCCAGCCCGACTGTCACCGTAACAAATTAGCAGCTTAACTGAGAAGGAGGGAAGGCAGGAAGTCACAGATAATATTTTAAAACATCCCGCATAAAAATATGAATTGTTGTTAACACTGGTAAAAACAAATCACTTATTATAGCCTCATAAATTTGCACAGCACTTTACCAAGTGCCCTATAGGAAGAGATGCTTCCTGTGCAGGAGAAGTCACAGCAGAGGGCAAATCAGGCACGGAGGAGAAATGGCAGGACAGAAAGGCGAGGGAGGATCAGGGAAAGCAGCAGAGATCACACAAGAACGGCACCAGTTTCAATGGCCTTTTTTGCCAGTCCACCGTAATCGGTGCTGAAGAGCAGCTCAGAACGATGCGTATGGATAAACCACAAGCAGCAAACGGACACGCGGGGCTGGCGGCCCACCTGCAGGGCGACGCAGGACCTGTCCCCAAGCACAAACGGCCCCAGGCTGCTGGCGGCTGCCTCCGCCCAGGACCTGCGCGCGCCGGAGCAGCCTGCCCGGAGCCTGTCCCACGTGAAGCCGGATTCGCAGGAACCGGTGGCGCCGTGAGCCCAGCCCGTGGCCACGGCGCTGCCGCTGCCTCCCGCGCCGCCCCGCACCCCGAGGTGTCACCCTCTGCTGTCGCCCTGGGGCAGAGTTGAGCGCCGCGCGGTTTGGGGCCGGCCGGCYGGCGCCTGGCGAGCGGGCGCCGCGTTTCGGCCGGTGCCGGACCCGGTCGCGAGCCCCGGCTCGAGGACACAGCCCCCAGCAGCCTCGCCGCCGCTGCCGATCGATGCAAAGCAGGTCAGGGCTCCGCGCGAGGCGCAGACGGGAGGCCGAGGTGCGGGGTCGCTGCCACTGCTCCCCCGTCAGAYGGGAAGCGGCACCAAAGATCTTTCCTAAATAAATCAGACTTTATGGTAAATCTCGGGCCCTGACGAGACACAACCTCATTAGCATTGATTTTAAAATAAATTATTGAAAGTGGCTTTTGCCTGCTCTTTGCATTGGTAAAAGAGAATCTAAATGCATCTGCAATGATGCTCCCCCCTGCACCTCCTCACGTGCCCCAAACCCTCCTCCTTTCTCCTTGCGCCAGCGGCACCTACTCCCCTCATCCCGCGGAGCTGAGCAAGGCCCGGCCGGCACCGCGGAGGCCCCGAGGCCGGAGCGGCACCGAGGCCGGCCCAAAGCTCGCAGCACTGGCCCAGGTCCCTCGCCTTGCAGATTCTGAGCCGTGCCCAGTGGCACAACAGGCTCTGCAGCCCTGCAGCCTGTTGCCGCCTGCTGCTTTGTGCCCTGGCTTTCCATGGGCGATGTCAGTCCATATCAACTTTAGAGAGGTGGATCAGTGCCCGGGGAACGGTCCTCGCTGCCCACCTCGCACCCGGCAGCCCGGGGACGGGACCGTCCCCACGCATCCCAGCCCGCGGCTGCGCACCCGTTGCTGCGCCGGAGCGGCCCGCGCGCCGGGCGCATTCTCAGAGGAGCTGTGTTTTAATGTAGCAATTTGATTCAATTTTCCACTCTATAAAATTACCCATCACTGCTCGTTGCTTCCTAACAGACACCTTCACTCTTAATTTAACAATCCTATCGAATTCTGCCAGGGAAATTGGAAAAATTTATCACCTGTGAAATTTTATTTTTCCTTGGTTGTATCTGTTTTTGTAAAACTTCATTAACGACGATGACTTGCTGAGGAAATTATCTCTTCGTCTCCCTCTTTCTTTTTCTCCCCTCTCTCCTTCTCCCTCCGTTTCAGCTCGGGACACCAGAGGGGCAGGGTGGCCTGGGGGGGACCCTGCCTTGGACASGGGCGCTTGTTGCAGGACCCCGGCACCCCCAGGCTGCCCCGGGCGCCGAGCACCGGGCAATGCCGAGGAACCTCGACCAGGAAAGCCCATGGAGAATGTGGGGATAGAGCAGGGAGCTGGGGGAAGATGAGAGATGGGCAGGGGCTGCCTGCGCCTGGGCAGGGTCCTCGTGCCCCTCTCAAACTGCRGAGCAGAGATAACAGGACTACGGTCCTGAACACCCTGACACGGCTGCTGCATTTAAAGTGTTTGTTTAATCACGACAAATACAACGTTCTGAAATAAATGAAAACAAAGAGGGCCTTTCTGAGATCCCAGGACAGGGCCACCGAAGGACTGTGCTCGGGAGGACGGGGTGCAGAGCCGGGCAGCCCCAGCCGCGGCTCCGCGGCACGGCAGCACATTCGCTTGGACAAGGCTCAGGGATGCACTGCCCAGGCCCCAGGGCAGCTCACCCCTGGATCTCTGCTACAACCATAAGAAATGCTGCAGAGACCAGGCTGCCTTCTTTGGCTGCTTGGTTTCATGCCAAGACGACGGCTTCTGGCTCCTTGAACTGGCAGCTGCTGCTCTGCTACCTCCAGGCCCAGTGCACCGTTAGAGAACAGGGGCTAGTCTTTAATGCAGTTATTTTATCATCTCTTGGAAGGGCAGTAATTGCATTACAGCCATGACTGCATGCCCAGGAGGGAGCATTTTCATCATCTGGGTCTGATTTTGCAGGTAACACAGCCCAGAGATTCCATTCTCACCAAACGTAATATTACCCAAGCTGAATGGAGCACAAGCTCTAAAAGCCAAGTCAGCCGGGTTTATAAACCCAGGTGCATTTGGTCTTGTGGCCCATCAGCCAGTCTGAACAAAGAAATAGGGTCAAACCTCTGAGTTATGGCTCCATTAGGTTCAGCAGAGCCTGAGATGTTTATTCCCATCTGTGTGTTATGTGSCCAAGCTCTCCTGCCCCGTGTGCAGGGTTAAAGGGGATTAAAGCAAAGGGGTGGCTTGTTTTTCGCCCTGTGTGTTCAAATGCTCACCTGGCAAAACCTCATAGATGTCATCGTCTCCCATCCCATCATCCGGCTCATCCTGATTTGGGGCAGTATTGTGGGATGCTGTATTCAGAGAGTCGGAACTGTCCACGTCATTGTAGGGATCTTCCTCATCTTCCTCATCAYACGGGATAGTGAGGGAGATCAGGTCTGGCAGAAGAGAGCAAAAACACAATGAAAGGGAGCAAAACTCACCAAGCAACAAAGGCATTTTGTCCTCACTATGGACCTGGAAGAGTACTTGAAAAGCCCCTGCTTTGCCCAGGAGCAAAATTGAGGGGAAAAAAAAAAAAATTCAAACACCACCAATAAAAACAAATTCAAGGAAAATGAGTAAAGCCAAACTCAACAAGCACCTCAAGGAACTCGGTCTGACCCCATTACTGGGCTTCTCAGAGAAGACTGATTTCAGCAAGACAGCAACAAAACCACAGCATTTGCTGCAGCAAATTAAACAGAATTGATGTGCCAGGACATAAACTAAGAAACTGGAAAGGATCACGGGGTCTGAAACAGTGCAGCTGCCCATGGTTTCTAGAGGGTTTCCATATGCAGAGCTGGAGTCTGGTCTTAGTTTTGCTCGTGTCAAACTGGAGTGACTCCAGTGGAGACARAGCCCGTCCCCAAGGGAGCAGATCCACAGGTTCCCCCCTCGCTGCTCTCCCGTTCCTGTCCTGCTCACCAACCCTTGCAGCTTTGGAGGGATCACAGGGCTCTGAATGCAGCCCAAGGTGCTGAAGACAGTCCTGGGCTTCAAACAACAGCTTCTCTTCAGTCCCCTACCTAAAACAGGCAAAGCCCCAGTGTCCTCGTGGCGCTGGGCTCCCCTGCCCGTGGCCAGCGCGGTCCTGGGGACACAACGGCCCTTCCTTGGACACTGGATGTGTCCGATGGGACACACTGTTGGGATGTGTCCCAAGGGACGCGCCATCCTGGCGCAGGACTCACCCTTGAGCAGGAACTGGATCTGGTCCACCCAGTCCTCGGCCTCGGCTGCACTGGGGGCTGTGAACTGCAGAGAGGCACCGGTTACCGAGCGGACCCCGGCRCAGCGGGACGAGGACGGGCTGAGGTCCCGGAGGAGCCTCCCGCCATTGCCGGGGCTTTGGGGAAACCATTTCACTCTTTATCTCCACATTCCAAACAGGGAAACAGAAGCGGAACAAAGCTAGACTATCCCAGAGGAAGGCTGTCAAGCTTAATTCATTAAACTAATTTAGATGAAAACCACAATCCCTATTGAATGTACTATACTGAGTCTGAACCAAGACTCTACATCCAAAACATCCTGGAGCCCATTGGGTCTTTTTTTTTTTTTTTTTCAGAATTTCAGAATATTTTTTTTAAATTACACCAGTTTCCAGGCACTCCCATTGACACTCAACAAATTGGAGGTTTATATTTAAACCTGTCTGTGAATTCTAGTTTTTGAGAACAGCCTTCCCAAACTCAACCCTCTATCGCTTTTAACCCACRATCTCACTTAACCCTTCCTCACCAAGCACAGATGGGACCTAAGACTGATCTTGCAACCAGGCAACGTCCCTGCTCAGATCAGTGGCCAAAAATAAGAAGCATCAACGTCTTCTGCAGCATCACTTGTTGGCTTTACCGGGGCCTGGGGTCTGGCGGATGGTGCTGCCCTGGCCCTGCAGGTTCTCGTGCGCCCGTGCCCCGTGTCTGCACAGACAGAGGGGCCGTTTCTTCCCCCGTGCCTACCTCGTAGGTGCGCTTGCCAGGGCAGACTAACTCAAAGCAGCATTTTCTCCGAGAGTCTTTGCGGAGGTGGGAAGCCAGTCGGGCACTATAGTTCTCGATGGAAAAAGTGCCTTTAGGTTGCTTGCCTGTTAGAAGAGAAAACAGGTCACCTCTGGAGCCTGCATTTTTCACCTAATGCACCACCTGAGTGCTGCTGATATTTGCTGCCCAGGCAGGGAAACCAAAGCACAGAGTTGCAAGGTGTGCTACACTGTGTGGCAATGGCAGACGCCAAAAAAGACCTCTGCTTTAAATATTTCTGTCCCCAGGGAAATCCAAAGAGCATATTATAAGTTCTTTATATAGACACAGTACAGAGGATGTCTTTTGAAGCAGCAAGAGGACTGCAAACAGCTAACAAAAATTTGCCAGGGTCACAAGACTGCATGAAATGAACTGGTCATAATGAAGCAGAGCCCACTGTGTACTTGGGGAAATATGATACCAATGATTATTCTTCTGGTAAAGAATTAATGGGCTGGCATACAGGAAGAAATACTTAGTGGGGCCTTTGGGAATTGGCCTATGGATCTTGCGGATGCATGCGCACGGCCAGGGTCAGCCGGGGCGGGAGCGGGATCTTCACTGCGCTCATCTGCGCCGCGTTTATTTACCCCAGCTGGGCATCCAGCTCATTATTTCCCTATGAATCTTCCTGAGTAAGTGTGGGAGTAAGATTCAGACAGTTGCTCTTAACCTTTTTTTTTGATTTGCAGATCTTTTAAAAACTTCCAGAACGAGGCCAAGCCCTACGTAAGGGCTTCAGCCCATCGACACCAGGTTTCTTTGCTCCCTCAGCTTCTGGAGACCATTTGGAAGTGGACAACCACTCGTCCCACAGCAACAACCAAAGAGCAGCTCTTGGCTTCTCCACTCGCCGCTCACCAGGACAGCCCGAGCAGCCCGTTCCCCTGCACCTTCCTCAGCTGCTTCGGCTTTTGGGAACAGCCTCTCGCTGCCAGCAGGAGAAAAGTTGGGAAATTCTTCAGGAAACTTGTGCAAAAAGTTTGAGAACCTCAGACAACAGGGGTGGAAGAGRGACAAAGACCCAGCTCCATCCACACTCACTGCCAGTTCAGTTCCGCCCTCGCTGCAGCCCGGGCGCTGCAAACCAAGGCTGCRCAGGTATTTTTGTACAGCGCAGTGTTTCTGGATGGGTGGAACAGATTGAGGAAGGCCATATATCTGGCCATGCCAAACTCTGTTGGAGATATTAGCTGTCTGTTTATATGTACCTGATGGAGCATGGCTGCAAAATATTTATATACACTGACACATGGATTATATACAGTCACTCAGGGGGTTGCAGCCCAGCTGATGGCTAATGGAAAACTTGGTACATCAGTTTATTTGCGCACAGCTCCGTTCCTGTGCCTCTCTTCTCTTGTTTCCTACCTGTAAAGATGTCTGGAAAAGGGGAAAAAAAATCTAGCTTTCCAGAAGAGTCTACATCATATGCTTTGATAAGGAATTATGATCTTCCTCTTAGTTCTCATCAGCCCAGGATAAGAGATTATGGTTTCAGCAGGAGGAAGCAGTGGACAAGTAACATGCAGCTCCTTTAGATATTCCTGGAAATTGCAGCCAGCTCCTCACTTGCACTCRAAATGACCAGAAAGGACCACTCGAAACGACCAGAAAGGACTGCCTGCTTGTTTTCACACTCAGGATTACTTGTCTTGGGAACACACTGCTCCACGGGCACCCACAGGGCTCTCCTCTCCCACAGGGAGACATTTCCAAGCAGCATCATGCTCTGGCCATGGGGAGGGATGATCAAATTCAGGTTGTTGCAGCCAAGTTCATCCTTAAAACCTCAGCAGCCCCGGGCTGTGAGGTTGTGCGCAATAACACCTTCTTTCTGGTGAGATGTTGTCCAAGGGCTCTCCCCTTCCCTCCCYAGCCCTGGGGGGTCCTCGGCGGCCGCGCGCAGCCCAGGGACGGGAGGCAGGGGTCTYGCCACTTACTTTTCTCATTCGTGTAGTAGTAGAAGGTCTTTCTGTYGAGGACACACCACCGCTTCTGCCACTCGGACCCAAAAAAGCCATGGTCTAGAGAGAAGAGGAAACCAAAGGAGTAAAGAGGCATCCGTTTCTGTTCTTTCACAATGTGCTCGCCTGGGCAAGCAGTTTGGGAAATGAAGACTTTCCCACCATGATCCTGCAGATTTCTGCCATAAAATTCAAGCAAGGAAGTCTAGAGACAGAAGCTGCTGGTCAAGTGGGAGAGAAGCTGCCCACCCTTCAGGCCAGGACCTTCTCCAGCTAAGCAGCTCCATGGTGGCCTGGCACCCCCAGCCCTGCTACCAAGGAGGGAACACGACTTTGGGGTAAACTACCCTAATTGAAGTTTAATTGGGGTAAACTACTCTAATTGAAGTTTAAACAAATGATTTTCACTGTGCGACTGGAACAGGCTCAAACAGGCCCAGAGCTGGTGGATGCAGCTCAGCTGACAAGCACAGGGAATACAGGGCTGTTCCTACCTCATCCCACCCATCATACAGTAAATAAATCAAGATAAGATCTGAATGATGAGGAAATAATTTGTAGCTTTCACAAGAGTCAGTAAAATCAAGATAAACCCCGCGGCTGACTCACAGTCCTTATCTCAGTCCACTAATGTGTGTGATGCTACGAACTCCCTTGTCTTCACCAGGATTTTATCCTCATTAGGTGCTGCTCACTTGCAAGGACACATCTCGCCCTAAAAGGCCGGGTTGCTGCCTAATTCAATTCCTGAGTTTTGATCTTGGTGCAGATTGATGATCTGCAGCAGAGAGTAAATAAAGGCTGCGCTGTCCCTGTGCATCTGCGATGCCCGAGGAAGGCCTGGAAGGCCCTGCCCGCGACCCCGCGGAGGGGAATTCGCTCTTTGTTCTGCGGCCACAGACCCGGAGCTGCCCCGGGTTGTGGCTCCAGGGAAGAGGCAGGACACGGGGTCCCTGCTCCGACGCGGGGGTCCCTGCTCCGGCTGCAGCCGCCCCAGGCGGCTCCTGGGCCAGCCCCCCAACCCAAGCACAGCTTGAGCAAAGCTGGGTTTTAAGGGGTAGCTTCGGCACTGGCCCCYGTGGCTGTCGGAGCAGCGAGAGGGCCCAAACCGCGGCGGATTTCTGAATGCGCCATAGGAAACACCTGAACAAACATTGCTCCCCCGTCCAGCTTCCCCTTCGCGATGCCCTGAACGTGCTGCGCTCCGCAGGGAGCCTTCAGCCTCAGCTTCAGCCTCAGCTTCCACCCACAGCCGTCCCCCTGCCTCTCCCTCTACCAACCCTACCTCACCAGAGAGGACAAAAAGAGGCAGCCCAAACCAACGCTCTCCACCTTGCTCCTGATTTTGTGATGCATTTGCCAAGCCTTACCTCTGGACCTCTTCTCCAAGTATCCTTGCTTCAGGATGCTCCCCACATCTTGGACGGGTCTCGGTACGGCTTCCTCCAGCCCTAGGGAAAGCAAAGCAGAGCTATGGGGTTTTCTGCTGCACAAAGACCCCGTCGCGTGACCCATGGGAACGTCGGGGACCGGAGCCGCTACCCCACCCGAGCCCAACAGCTCCCACAGGAGCAACATCCAAAAAACAATCCCATTTTCCCCAACACAATGTCACTTTAGGAGGGTGGAAASAGCTTCTTCTAAACCGTGAGGCATCCTTGACCTTTCTCGAGCTCTAAAAGAAAATGCAGCATCCAAGACGAGCACTGCCCAGGATGTCATGACGAGCAGCTTCCCAGGAGTTTTTCCTATTTTCTTAGCGTGCATCTCTATCATCCAGCTTTTTTTTTTTTTTTTTTTTTTTTTTTT